TGGGCTGTGTTAACCACCTCACCACCAGCAGACTCCGATAACTACTAAAAATGAATGGCTCTGAGGACCTTCCGGAGTCCTATGACTATGACCTCATCATCATCGGAGGAGGCTCCGGAGGATTGGCAGCTGCTAAGGAGGCAGCCAAATATGGCAAGAAAGTGATGGTCCTAGATTTTGTCACTCCAACCCCTCTTGGAACTCGATGGGGTCTCGGAGGAACATGTGTGAATGTGGGTTGCATACCTAAAAAACTGATGCACCAAGCAGCTCTGTTAGGACAGGCCCTAGAAGACTCTCGCACCTATGGATGGAAGGTCGAGGACACAGTTAAACATGACTGGGACAGAATGACAGAACCTGTACAGAACCACATTGACTCTGAACTGGGGCTACTGAGTGGCTCTGCAGGAGAAAAAGGTCATCTATGAGAATGCTTATGGGGAGTTTATTGGTCCTCATAGGATTAAGGCAACAAATAATAAAGGCAAAGAAAAAATTTACTCAGCAGAGAGATTTCTCATTGCTACTGGTGAAAGGCCACGCCATCTGGGCATCCCTGGAGACAGAGAATACTGCATCAGCAGTGACGATCTTTTCTCCTTACCTTACTGCCCGGTAAGACTCTTGTGGTCGGAGCATCCTATGTTGCTTTGGAGTGTGCTGGGTTTCTTGCTGGTATTGGTTTAGATGTCACTGTTATGGTTCGATCCATTCTCCTTAGAGGATTTGACCAGGACATGGCCAACAAAATTGGTGAACACATGAAAGAATATGGTGTCAAGTTTATAAAACAATTTGTCCCAATTAAAGTTGAACAGATTGAAGCGGGGACACCAGGCCAACTCAGGGTGGTAGCTCAGTCCACCAACAGTGGGGAGACCTTCGAAGGAGAGTATAATACAGTGTTGCTGACAATAGGAAGAGATCCTTGCACAAGAAAAATTGACTTAGAAACTGTGGGAGTGAAGGTCAATGAAAAGACTGGAAAAATACCCGTCACGGATGAGGAGCCGACTAATGTGCCCTACATCTACGCCATTGGTGATATACTAGAGGGGAAGTTGGAGCTCACCCCGGTGGCCATCCAGGCCGGAAGATTGCTGGCTCAGAGGCTCTATGGCAGTTCCACTGTGAAGTGTGACTATGAAAATGTTCCAAGGGAACCAGCAGTTAGCGTAATGGCTATGTCGCTGGACTCCCACGTAGTCGACTGCGGTTCGCGTCCCGGACCCGGTGGCTTAAAACTCACACCGGGCGCGTGTGCGTGCGTGCCCATGATCCCGAGAGGAGAATGGAGGAGAAGGGATTGCGGCGTGACCATCCCCCCTGGGGGGTGATTTCTCGCTTTCTGTCTCTATGTCTCTCTCTGTCTGTCTGGCGAGCACACACGCCCTATAGTGAAAAATCTCTCTCAAAAAAAAAAATGTTTCAACAACTGTATTTACTCCTTTGGAATATGGTGCTTGCGGCCTTTCTGAAGAGAAAGCTATGGAGAAATTTGGGGAAGAAAATATTGAGGTTTACCATAGTTACTTTTGGCCGTTGGAATGGACGATTCCATCAAGAGATAACAACAAATGTTACGCAAAAGTCGTCTGTAATACTAAAGACAATGAACATGTAGTGGGCTTCCACGTCCTCGGTCCAAATGCTGGAGAAGTTACACAGGGCTTTGTGGCTGCGCTCAAGTGTGGACTGACCAAACAGCAGCTGGACAGCATGATTGGAATCCACCCCGTCTGTGCAGAGGTGTTCACGACACTTTCTGTGACCAAGCGCTCCGGAGGAAGCATCCTCCAGGCCGGCTGCTGAGGTTAAGCCCCAGTGTGGGTGCTGCTGCCGAGACTCTAGACCACCCACTCGTCTCCTTGCCAAATCCAAGGTGAAGTTTTCAGGAACACTCTTGGGCTCCTGGCACCTGTGTGTCCTGTGCTTACCACCATCCAGGACCTTGGAGCCAGCTCACGGGGAGGCGGTGGTGAATGAAGGCAAGCAGCACTCCATTGGGGTCACTGTCATGGACTCGGAGCTAACTCTTGGCAGCACATCAGAGGGATGTGTCCATGAAGTCACCAGCCTCAAGCCCGTGTGGTGGGTGGTGATGGAACGACTGCCAGATCAGTTTCAGCATGTCCTTTTCTTTGTCATTTTCTTACTCTCATTCTCGAGCTTCCTAATGTTGATTATCACTATTGTTTTTCTTATTTCTCATGGTGTTAATATTGGATGTGAAAATGTTAGCTATCGATTTTCATCCAAAAGCAAGTTGTGGCTTGAGTACCCAGTGGAGTGTCTTGGTGCATGAAAGAGGTGAATTGTAGCTCAGAGGTCACGTAGGATGGTCTGTGAGAGAGAACTGTCTTACAGTTGGAAATAAGTCTATGTCCAAAGTAAGTAAATCCAGTTGACTCTGGCCAAATTCGTTCCAGTGTGCTACATGGCTGATTATCATTGAATGTTTTCGTGAGAGAGAATATGGTGACTTGACCAGCCTATTTGAAGTAATAATATCTATCCCCTTGTATTATTCCCACCATTATTCATGCTGGAGGTAGGAATACACCTAAAAAATAGGGGAAAAGAATAAATCACGTCATATTTTATTTCACTTATTGTGTGTTGACCTAAGATTGTTTGCAACAGAGAACACTCATTTCAAACTTTTGTCTTTTTTTGAGGGGGGTAGTTTTATGTGTGTTATGTATCTATTTTTTCCCAAGGAGCACATTCATAGGAAAATAGAGTCTGTCCACACATATGATTTAACTCTTTTGTGGTGATTACTTTTTTTAAGGAAACTGTTAATATCCTAAGTTATTATTTTTGAACACAGTTGGATGTGAAGGATTTTCATTTAAAAGCCAAGTGGTTTTGACCTTTTCTTTGATGACGCGTACCTGGTGGAATCTGGGCCACATCCGCCCTGCTAGCATTCCGACTTGTGTGATTGCAGAGAGGCCTCTGCTCCTGTTACCTGTTTTGTGTAAACGGACTAGCGAGGGATGTTAGTCAGGCCCTGTGTCCTTGCTCTGGGTTGAGGTTTTGAACCTGTGCTATGGACACAAAGCTTCTGCCAACAGTTCTTTAAGTCCCTCTTCACTCCCTCCCCTCTTCCTGTGTTCCTCAGCCACAGCGCTGCATTTCTGGGCACCTCGGGGAAGCCATGCTTCTGCCTGGCATTTAGTCAGCAGAGCCCCCAACCCTGTCTCAAGGTCTGTGTCCTCATCCCATCTGGTCGTATGAAGAAAACGGGAAAAGAGAAACGGAGGGGAGAAGGGAGAACAGTTGATTATGTTCTTTTTTTAAATTTTATTTTAAGATTTTTTTCCGAGTCTGCCAGTCTCAGAAGCTAGAACAGTAGGCAGTATGAGATAATCACACCTGATCATGTCTCTTCTTAGGGGAAGGGAATTCTCCACCCCCACAAGAAAGATTACACTTCATAGCCTCCTCTTGTTGAGTTTCTGTAGCTGCCCAGTGTACCAAAACTCATACTAAACTCCATGTATGTTTGTTATAAACCTTTTGAGAAAAAAATAACAATGTGAAACATTAAAGGTATTAATATCCACTTGTGTGCCTCTTACTGAACGGTGGTGTTGGGATTCTCGGCCAGAGCGTCAGGAGGCTTGCAGCTTCACAACGAAGGTGCTAGGAGCCTGCTGTCGGGTAAGCTTGGCTGATGCCCACTGGGCCTGGCTGGTGCGTTTTTTTTTTTTTTTTTTTTTTGAGAGATTTTTCGCTATAGGGCGCCGTGCGCTCGCCAGACAGACAGAGACATTAGCGACAGAAAGCGAGAAATCACCCCCAGGGGGGATGGCCACGCCGCAATCCCTTCTCCTCCATTCTCCTCTCGGGATCTTGGGCACGCACGCACGCACACGCGCCCGGCGTGAGTTGTAAGCTCGCTAGCGCTCTCTCTCTCTCTCTCTCTCTCTCTCTCTCTCGGGGGAAGGGGGTGTACATGACATACTGGTTACAAGATTAAACTGCAGCAGAGCACGTTTTCTCCTTATATACCAGAAACGGGATACCCAAGGTGTTGGACACAAATCCCTGAGCTTGCGGCTAACACACGTTCCCATCCACAACGTGATGAGGAAAGTAAGTGCAGTCACGTCACTTCAGTGAAACCAAGGAGACGAGACCCCAAAACCTCTCTTTCAACAACACCTTCTTTAAGTATTTTAAGTTCATTCATTCACTTAACTTGAAAGACAGAGAGAGAGAGAGAGAGAGAGTTGATAAGCCACCAGGCCTGAGGCTCGAGCCACACACAGTCAGCCATGTGAGGAAGTGCCCAGCGCCTCAACCACCACGCGACCTGCCAGCGCCAAGACTTACCTGCTTGCAAGTTCAGACTCAAATGACCTTACAACTGACTCAGACCAATTTATTTCGTTAGCGTGCTCTGTTCACATGCTCAAACTCTGCACAAAGCAGTCAAGAACCCGCGGGCCCGGGCTGGTAAGCAGGCGCGAGAGCGCAAAGACTCGGGGTGGACCAAACGGGAACTAGCGCCAAGCAGCGGGCGAGGTTTGAGATACCCAGCTTGAAAACACCAACAGCCGCGGAAAGCCAACCCCACCTAAAGAAGTAACTCTGCTTTTAAAAAGACCAGCGAGATAGGCCCCCAGGGGGGGGTGCACCGTTCCTGGAAGTACTGCAATACCAGGTCGATGCGTGGAGTGGACGGAGCAAGCTCCTATTCCATCTCCCAGCTCCAAAAATCCATTTAATATATTGTCCTCGGATAGAGGACGTATCAGATATTAAACTGATAAGAACAGATACTACACTTGATCTTAGCCAAAAGGCCGAGAAGCGATACCGGGGAAGCCTCCCTGGCCGGTGTCTATCTCCTATCGCCCATATTGCACTCGCGGTGACAAAATCACGCCCAAGTAAAGACTCACCCTCCCACTATTTTCACACTGTATTACTGACATGCTCGCCAGACATGCTTAATTGCCCAGATTGTTACTTATCTGGGGAATTTTCACTTTCCTATTTTCCTCCCATGGCTCCCGAGCAAAACCGCCATTTCAAATTTGCATGCCCCGCCCCGCGCACGCCGTACCGTGCCGTGCCGTGCCGTGCCGTGCTTCCCGGGCCGCCCAACCGGAAACCGCCTGTACAACACCGGATTAACCGAGCGCCCCTTCAGCCTCGTCACCCCTTTTCTTCCCAGCGTTTCTTCCCCCACACCCCTTTTCTATATTTTCCATACATACAGCTACGTCGAAAGAATTTTACAGTGATAATCTGATGTTTGCCTTCCTTGGTCACAGTCGAGTTAGACAAATTTATCCTCCACCCACGATGGCAAAGAAAGTAGAGCCGACAGAGGAACGCGTCTCTCGGCTGCCGGGCCGGGCAGAAGATGGATACAGAGGACAGACAGAGGCGCCCTAGGCTCTCGCGAGGATGACGAAAGGGATTAGATGAGTGAAAAGTCTCAGGCCACGAGTCTTCAAATGACGGCATCCTAGATTAATTTTCTGGGGCTCCAGAGCCTGCACCTCAACACGATGACGGGCCGTCAGAGGTTTAGCAAAGCTCATCTTCGATGTCCGTGTTTTGATGACGCGCAAGCGCGAGAACAGCCAGAAGCTAGACCCTCACAGAGACGCTCGTCCAGGACGCCCGGATGCCGTCGTTTGACAAGAGACGTATCTGAACTCTGGAGTCCAGGTTCACGTATGACAGTGACCTGGAAACTATGAAATCGGAATAGGAATGAGGGTTTGCCATGCCGATATTCCCATGTTAATCCTGTAATGAAGTCGTTTCCCACTGTCCATTGTATTTACTTTTCTGTAAATTATTCGCAAATTTCGTTCAATCAAGGGACCGGCAGTTGGCATCATGGTTACGTCGCTGGACTCCGACGTAGTCGACCCTGGTTCCAGACCCGGACCCGGTGGCTTAAAACTCACGCCAGGCCCGTGTGCGTGCGTGCGTGCGTGCGTGCGTGCGTGCGTGCGTGAGCCCAAAATTCTGAGACTGGAGAAGGGACTGCGGCCCGGCCATGGGGGGGAGGGGGGCTGATGATTTCTTTTCTCTCGCTCTCTCTCTCTCTGTCTGGGTCAAATTAAAGTTAAAAAATTATTAATGGGACCAGCAGTTGGCGTAATGGCTATGTCGCTGGACTCCCGTGTAGTCGACCAGGAGTTCGAGTCCCGGACCCGGTGGCTTAAACTCACACGCGCGGGCGTGTGTGGGTGCGTGCGTGCCCAAGAAGGGATTGCGGCGTGGCCACCCCCGGGGGGTGATTTCTCGCTTTCTGTCTCTGTCTGTCTGTCTGTCTGGTGAGCGCACGCGCCCTACGGCCCCCCCACAAAAAAATGAAGCGCAAAACTCTCGCCTACTTAGCCCAGTTCCCATCACACCATGCGGCCCTACCCTGAAAAGAACCAAAGCAAAACAAACTAAAATAGGTGGTGTGGCAGTTAAAAAGTGCCGGACTCCCACATGGCTCTCTCTCTCTCTCTCTCTCTCTCTCTCCCTCCTCTTTCTCTAATCAAACTGGAAAATAATGACGATAAAAAACAAAAATAACTCTCTCAATAAGAAAGTAAAAAGAAAATAAAAAACCAGAATCGCCAGCCCTGAGACACCTATTTCCTCTTGACTCACTGTCTGACTCTCAAGTGTCTCATGCCATACCCCACCCCACGGTGGCCTTCTGTGCCGTGCAATGGGGTCAGACTAGAGGAAAAGATCAAGCACAGAGAACGACACAAACCTCTCACCTCCACCAACAAGACAAACAGCTTGTTGCTTCTATTCTTATGTCACCAGCTTATATGTCCCCCGATGGGGGTGCACCGTTCCTGGAAGTACTGCAATACCAGGTCGATGCGTGGAGTGGACGGAGCAAGCTCCTATTCCATCTCCCAGCTCCAAAAATCCATTTAATATATTGTCCTCGGATAGAGGACGTATCAGATATTAAACTGATAAGAACAGATACTACACTTGATCTTAGCCAAAAGGCCGAGAAGCGATGCTGACTGCTGTCGCCTTCCCTGCTGCCACCGCTCGGCCACACCTTTACACACACGGCGAGCCATGCCACTGTCCAGCGAGGCCTCTCTCTCTACCTCCAGGGACTATGTGAAACGCCACACTGTGGGACGTAGTCGTAAATAGTCTCCAAGTCTGTGAGAATTTTCATGTGTATAAGAGTTTTCCACCCGAGGTCGACGTGCCACTTCTAATCTGCATGCCCCGCCCCATTCGCGCGGGTAGGCGTGACTGTCGCAGTCCGGTCCCACATCGGGGACTTCCTCTGCGGTCACGAGCGGAAGCTGGGCCCGGAGCGAGCTGCTCGTTCCTACCCGCCTGCCGGAGACACCCAAGCGAGGGGAAATGGGAGCGGGCGTCCGGAGGCGTCTGTGGAAGGGGGCTGTGGACAGT